CCCCAAAACCCCAAAACCCCAAAACCCCAAAACCCCAAAACCCCAAAATTTAAGAGGAGGATTGAAAGCAGATTTATCAACCAATTCCCTGGATAAAAGTAGATAAAAACCTATTTTTCAAGCAGTCTGATTTTGATTGCTTCCCATAATCTGAAACATTCACAGCTATTTTCATCAATTTCGAATTCAAGTGCGTATTCCCTACTTCTCGGAGGCTTATTTAACCTCCCAAGTACTATGGTCATTTCTGCTAAGTTTGAACAAATGATGGTTGTTTTAGTGCTCTGGAGAGAATTTAATCCGAAACTTACAGATTTTATGAATTTACAGTATTGAGATAGTTCTGGTTTTAACACATGAAGAATCGTATCAATAATAACTAAAGGTAAGTCAGTGTGTTACTTTTGAACCCATCCCAGCCACTTTTAAAGAGATGTTCCCATAACATCTCAGAGTACTCAAGTGGAACGGAATGTGACATTAGGCTGATTGCCCAGGTTGCTGCGAAGGAATCTATGTTTTAGAGTTAGATGAAGGATCTTTGAGGTTAATCCTTACCCATCGGGACATTTCCTATAATTTAAAAACCAAATTCCTACTATTTTTAAGTCTGAGCTCTAGGATGGAGTCTAAAGTATTAACCTGGGAGTCACCATTAGCCATTTGGAGGATTTCATCAATATGGGAGTAATAATACTCAAGTTCTAGCTTTTCTGAGAGACCTCAGAAAAGCCAGAACGCCATTGCCTCATTACAGTGGAGGGATAGAGAGGCTACGATGAAGTTTAGCCCCTGTACATAGTCCATATCAGGGTATTTCTGATGTATGGCCAAAACTACATTTAAAAATTTTGCCAGAATGTTAGTGTGCTTGAACAGACTAGATTTAAGAAAGTAGAATTACTTGTAGCTTGAGAATGTTCTTGAAATATCTCTCATAAAATCCTTGATAAACCTGTCATGCTCTTGATATCTTACAACAGAGTGAACTAAAGAAATAGTCTGGGAGTTTACCTTTGTTTAGTGCGAATACTTTACATGCCTTGTATTCCTCAGATATCTAGGTTTAAGAAAAGACTTACTTTTTCGTAATCCACATTTTCAGAGAAGTTACTTTCTGAAAAAGAATTTATGCTGCTTTGGTTATCGTTGAGAAGTCTCAAAGCCCACTCTTCTGAGTTTTCACAGCCATATCCATGATCTCCAGGAGTTCAGTGGCATATGGAGGGAGGCAATTGGCTACTATCACACTTTAAAAGCACTTTAAGTAATTTTTCACGGTCTATTTTGCTAAAATTATACAAAAGTTGTACCTTTCAAAGAAGATCCTGAGAGTCCTAATTTTGAGGTAAGCTCTCCATATCACCTTCTTGTAATACGTCTCTTGATCTTAGACTCTGGAAACATAGGTAGGCGGTTGGTTCTATTTGCCTTCTGTTTCTGTGAATTACTTGCATTACTTCCCTTTCTTCTCATCAGGGAACCCCACAAGCACGCTTTGCTTTCACAGCGTAGTTTTCTTCTTTACTGGTGAAGATGGACTTTCTGTATTGTAAAAATGCCTATGAATTCTGAAGATTTAAACACTTACTTTGCCATTTGTGGCTGAAGCTTCTCTGAGTTCTTCTTCTCAATTTTAGCAGGATTTAAAGGATTATTACTAAAAGTTATATTAGAAATACAGGTGAAAAGTGTCAGGAAAATTCTTAAAGGAAGGCTCAATATCTTCATCTTGATCCTTAGATGATTCTGATTTTGTTTCTTCAAGGGGAATTTCGGATGCAAAAGAGTTAGCAGCATTTGCTTCTGCATTAGGATCTAGGAATTACTAAAAAACTTACCATAGAGATTTGCCTGTTCTTGAGCACTAATCTTTAAGGTCTTCTCATAAAGAGAGGAGAATGAAGAATATACAGTGTTATTTTAAAGACTTGTCTGACTTCACCGTATGGATTCTAAATGGAATTTTGCCGTTATTATAATCCCTCTGTTTGGCTATTTTATAGCCAATATCATGAGGTGTAATTATGCCAATATTTTCATCCATGTCGTTATCATAATTAGAGTCATCGCCTTTGAGGATCCCTTTGATTTTAGATTTTGACTGGATATGGGCCTAAACAGATAAGGTGTAAAATTACAAGACTCTTTACCTCTTTAGTATTCTTCCTGAGCCTATAAAGTTGTTTCATAAGTGAGCTGGGTTGGTGCTTCAACACCTTCCCACTGAAAGAGATTCTCTTTCTCCTCAAGGTAATAGTCCCACAGATCTTTACATTCTCCGGACTGGAGTACTCTTTGTACATAGTTGTTACAAAATAATTCAAATAATTCTTAGTTATAGGGGTTTTGGGGTTTTGGGGTTTTGGGG